CTGTAAGGTCATATTTCTCGTTTCTTGTGAAAGATATCAAAAAGTAATCAACTAACAAAATGTTTTTGATATTATGATGATCCTTTTATTAGTTGACAACTTTTTGATATCTTTTACAAGAATCGAGATATACGAAGTTGGCGGTTTGGGTGGCGTTTTATGAACGGTATGTTTACGGTAAAACTTAATTTTTCATGTTTTTAAGGCTTTTCAGCATCTGAAAACTTTCTGAAACAGTTGCAAAAAACGTTTGACACCTGTGGGATTTGAACCCGAGTGGTGAGATCGATAGAGTTCTTATGAAAAATCCCACTGCGCCATTTGAGAAATTTTTGGGAAAAATGCCAGTGGTTTTTAATAGATTCTTTGAGAGTTTTGAGCATTTCTGATTGTAAAACATTAGTTTCCAACTATTTTGAACAAAAAGCCCAGAAAAGGTTATCTAGAAATCCCAAAAATCAAGATAATTAAGGGAGTTCTTGTTTCAAATTCAAGAAAAAAAGAAGAGAAAACTAATTTTATGCATATGTGTCATAAACAGAAAGGAGAAAACTGTGCCTAAAAAAGCAGTGAGGATGAAAAACGAAGATTAGCAAGTTCCCACACCAATGGTTGACTCTTGCCTATGGCAATGTAAATAGTTCAGGCGACAAGAGATTGAGAATCACTCGTTTTTCTTCTAGAATCCACTTACTTCAATTCAGTTAGTTAGAGAGAGAAAAAAAAATTCTAAAACTGTTTTGTGTCGTCTAAAGCTTCTGTTTTTGCTTCTTCTTTGTTTTGCTTTCCCACAAATATCAGTTGGAATCTAATCCCAAAGCCTAAAAGTTTTTTCAGGAATTAATAAGAGAGCTTTTCGGGAGCAACAAATGAAAAAACAGCAAAACAGTAGGGGGTAAAATCAGAATCCGTCATGCGGGAAATGAATGGAAAAACTGAATGAATAAGTCACATTCGTTCCATTTATTCTCAAGATTACAGGAATAAGAAATGTTGAAGAAAAGGAAACAAAAGAAAAAGGGAAAAAGAGTGAATCTCATAAAAAACAGTAATTGTAGATGGAGAGAGCAAAATAATAGACACGGAAGACCACTAGGTCTAAAATTGTCACTACAAATCTATACCTTAAAGGAGGAGTCCGAACAAAAATTGTATTATTTTGAAATAATATAAAAGCAGTAATAGAATTACCCTAACTTTGAGCCAATTTATCTCAGTTGCTCTCATAGATATAGAAAAGTTGTCAACTAATAAAATAGCTATCATAATATCAGTAACATTTGATCAGTTGACAGATTTTTGATATCTTCAATAGGATCAGAGATAATTGAGTTTGAATTTGGCAGTATGTGGGCTCTAGCAACACTTCAAAACCGCGACACTTCGAAACCGGTCACTTCGAAACCGCGGTAATCATGCAAATGGATAAACTTAGGGTTTTCAAATATGCTTTTTCTGATAGTACACATTCTGAAATCTTTGAAAAATTCAAAATTTGCTGTTCTCAAAAGAAAGAAATTCTTGAATTTTTGGATTTTCAGAATGTGTGCTGTTAGAAAAAGCATATTTGAAAACCCTAAAATTGTTTTTGTAGTCTGAAACTTATCCATTCGCCTGTATTACCACGGTTTCGAAATGACTGGTTTCGAAGTGACGCGGAGCCAGAAAACACCCGCGTCAAAACTGAAATTCCTGGGCACCTCCAGAAAAGTGTCGGAAATGAAAACGGAGGATTTTAAGTTTTGTAATTCAAATAAAGAATCGAAAACCTTCTAGAAGTTTCCAGAAAGAACTGAAAAGCGATTTTCAATGTTTTGAAAAATTTGGAATTGCTTCTCTGTTGTTATATGAATCTCAAAATTAATTTTGGTAATAAAGTCCCCCTTTAAACATACATCACTCTCTATATCTTTCTAGACTGACTTTAATCAAAAAATATTCGCTACCTAAAAGCCAAATGAAATTGAATTTTTCTGATTCTCGCGAACTACAAGGTGTTATGTCTATGGAAGCCAGTGCGAGTCAAATTGGATCTTTCGGGGAAAGAGTATGAGGTTTGTAGACAACTAGTTTAGCAAGTTTTCGGGTTAGGCAAAATCTGGAACTCTGGGATTAGGTTTAGGAAAGAAATTTTCAGAAAATTGAAAAATCTACAGAAGGAAAAGGGATGTTTTTCTCCATTAAAGAATGTCCCTGGAGAGTTGGAGCAGAGCATGCACACAAATAATTATCTTACTCCAAGACGGCGCTTTTTGACGTTCGGATTCTGAAGAAAATTTCAGAAAAATGTTTCAGAAAAAAGTTAGAGGAGCACTTTTGATCCTAGCTCAAAGAATGATGATGGACACACGAAAGATCCCAACACCTGACGTCTATTACACCTGTGGCAGTTTGATGGATCTACCGTTGTATGTTTTTGTTTCACATGGTGCAAAAAAAGAAGAATGAACAAGTCAACACAAAAAAGAGAGCACATCCGTACACAAGTTAGTCATTCGGGATTTTTAGATGAAGAATTTCAAATGAGCCAAAGGCTTTGATCATACTGAGAGCTACTTGGAAAATGGACAATAAGAGATCTTATAAGGAGGTCGAGGATTTTTTCTGAGAAGTGAAAAATTTGTTGAGATCCTTTAGACTAAACTTGTGGAAGTGGATCTTGGAAGACATACCGGAAAACGTAGGCAGAAAGGGACAACGGAGTCTATGTAAAACAATTTTATATTATCATTCTTTGTTTCTAATAAGATTTCTTTCCCCCAATTCCCAAGAACAGAAACTTCAACGGAAAAAAATTTATAGGAATATTTTCAGCTGATTGTACGAATCCGTGTGCACATACATATTTCAGCTCACTTTCTCTCTGGTTCTTCCAATATGAGATTACTAGTGCCAATGGCCGCAAAATTAGATCTACACTGCCCACGGTCCGTTGTTTTTTTTCCAGTTGGCGGGGGAATTTTTTCAGTAGAATTTTTTCTTTGAAAATTAAATCGCACGGGTGAGGGAGCACAAAGGAGAACATCATTCAGGAAGAGAAGACAATTTTCGTGGATTTTATCGCTCTCTCGTGGGAATTCCTACATGATAGTAGAAGTGACTTTGAGGATGAACTTTTGAAACTATGTCAGAAGGATCCTGTTAAAAAAGCGAAATTCAAAAGTGGGCGGAGCGTAGGTCCGGCGTCAAAATCCTTAAAAGTGCATTTAAAGGAACATGTGCCCTCGTAATTATTTTCTGGCCTATTTTTTGAGTTTTCGACGAATTTTATCTGTTTTTCGAAGGTTTTCATCGGTCTTTTTGCGGTTTTCCGAATTTTTGTATGAAAAAAATGTACAAAACCGATGAAAATTGTTGAAAAATCGAAAAAAAAGTTTTGCTTTCCATGTCATTTTTCCGATTTATATGAAAAAAGTAAAACATTTAAGGGGCTCATCGGAAAATCGAAAAAAAAAATGGCCAGAGACTGATTGCAAAACATACCATAAACACTCTAATAGAACGCCACCCAAACATTCAACTTGATATTATTTATCTCATTTTCTGTGAAAGGTGTGTAAAAGTGGTCAACTAAGAAAATGTTCATCATAATATCAGCAACATTTTACCAGTTAGCAGTTTTTTAAATATCTTTTGCAGGAAATGAGATACATGAGCTCAAATCGGACGGTTTGGGTGGCCGTCTATTAGAATGATTACGGTATGTGCGCCTTTAAGGATTTCATCGAATTTTCGGGGCACATAATTCGGATTGTACAACAGTGGGGGGTGCAAGTCTTCCAAAGTGATTCAGAGGTGCAAAATCCATAGTTCTGGGGTTTAAAATTCGACCTTTTCAGGTATTTTTACTCTTTAATTGAGGACTTTGTACCTCTGATTTGCTCAGTACCCAAATTACTCCAAAATTATTGTACCCTCCGAATTTTTTGACGATTTTCGGTCACAACGAAATTAGCCTAGAGTAATACTGACTCCGAGACTGATCTTCTGAAACTGAGCCAGAAGGAAGTTGAAAAAGAAAACCTTTATATATAATTGATAACGTCGAGAATAGGAACAAAAAAAGCAGTGGTAACTCAAAGAAAACCGGAGTGGAGGTAGGTGAAAACCGAACAAAAGTAGAAGGGGAAAAACGTAAACTCAAAGGTCCGCACAATTTTATTTCCTGTTTTATGATGACACATCCACTATCTTCTTTCTATCTTTTTTTGTGTGACCCACTTTCTTTAACCAAGTTTATTTTTGTATGCATTTTGCAGAATCTCTTTGAGTTGAAATTCAAAAAATATAGGTGTGGAAAAGGATGTGTCTGGCATGAAAGGAAAAAAGAAACAAAGCAAAGATGGGGAACATGGCATAGGGAAGGATATAAGGGAAAGGGATGAGGATATCAAATTTGACATGGATACACAAAAGAAAAAACACACATGATGTATTCGGAAAGAGGAAGAAGGGAGATAACTCTAGCCCCGCCCCTTCTATTAGAACTACCTCATTCTTTAATCAACCTCTCCACCGGAGACGGAAATGTGTTTCCAGATAGTTAAACACCTACGGACAATTCGGATAAATTGCTTTTTTTGTTGGGTGTAGTTTGATTTGTAGAAGGAGATGTGTGTTTTGGAATTTTCAATTCAAGAATTCTGAATTAGCGTCAAACCTGTAATAGAAATTCCCCTTAACTTTTAACTTTGCGGCAATTTATCCCGGTTCCTGATGAACATATGAAATAGTTGTCAACTGATAAATTGCATATCATAATACCGCAAAAATTTTTTTAGTTGACATCTTTTTGATATTTGTTATAGGAGCCGAGATAATTGAGCTCCAACTTGGTGGAGCCTGTATTAGACAGGTCCCTATACACTGTCTAGTTTGCGCTCAATTATCTCAATTCCTAAGCAAGGCTTCACAAACATGTCAACTAACAAAACACTTCTGATATTATCATAAACATTTTACCAGTTGACACATTTTTGATATCTCTTATAGGAGCCGAGATAATGGAGCTCCAACTTGTGGGGGCATGAAATACGGTAGTCGTATCTTGGAGCACTTCCTGTTTTTTCCTGGGAAGAACAGTTAAAGATAAAGTATTCCTGGATAAAGGAAATGACATGAAAAAGCGGGAAAAACGGGAATTAATTTTATTCGTCAAATTAAAAGTATAAGAGATTGGGAAGTAAAACTGGAAGAGGAAAGGATCAAAAAGGGAAAGAAGCAAGAAGAGAGGACGGGAGGAGAGAAGGCTCTAGATTAAATTTCGTGAAGAAAAGAATAGGGGAAAAGTTGTAAACCAAGTAACAATTGTATTTGAGAAGAGGCACGCAGAGCTAAATCGATGACGTTTCGTATCAGAAATTTCTCTACTCACTTTTTTTGAAATTAGATACTACGAGGGAAACTGATACGAGTCAAGGTTTCAAGAGATCCTATTGTTGTCTGAAGATCATCAAAAGACTTTTACTACGAGGTAGAAAAAAAATATACTTCTGGGTACCTTGATAATGATTTTGATGCCAAAATGGTTCTGAATGCATGTCTGGAATAAGGATATCATTCTATACACAGCTGAGCCACCGGACGGCCACCATACGGCCGTTAGCCGTTGTTTTCCGGAATTAAACTCACAGTTAGACCAGAGAAGCTCAGACAAACACGACCGCTTTGTCAAAGATTGAGCTCAATTATCTCGATTCCTATGCAAGATACCAAAAATGTGTCAACTGATAAAACACTTCTGATATTATGGTAAACAATTTATCAGTTGACCACTTTTTCTATCGTTGACAGAAACCGAGATAAAATGGCTCAAAGTTGAAAGTTTGAATCTTGTCATCACCTCATCGAAACATGTAGTGACTATTCGGTTCAGCTTGAAATGCAGAGGTTCCTTGTTGCCTTTCAAATTGTAATGTTTCTTCGTTTCGATGGTATCGCCTTTATGGTTTTGTCAAGGTGAAAATGTGTAATTCGAACAGTTCGTCCGAAATGAAAGACGATTTCTAACCGAAATTTCGGAGTATGATGAATTTGAGGGTTACTGTAATAAGTCGGAGTTCAGTCATGTATTCATCTCTGAAATCGGATTTCTTCTTGGTTTAGTTCTCTCTTATATAGATTACTATACAACACAACTTTCTATAACTTTCTATAAGATTCACTTTTGCTTTTGGATCTATTTCACTATTGCCTATTTCTTATACTAGACCAAATACAATATCTTTAATCCCAGTTTTTTTTCTCCTGTAATAGATATCGGAAAATTATGAACTTAAACAATTTTCTTTATAATGTCCTGAAGTTTTTTGTTCAGAGAAGTTTAATACCGTATTTTCTTTAATAGAAGCCCACCTAATCATCAGATTTGAGCTCAATTATCTGGATTATAGTGAAAGATATCAAAACTTAGTCAACTGATGAATTCTTTATCATAATAGCACCAATGCTTTATCAGCTAACACATTTCTTATATCGCTGACAGGAATCGAGATAAATTAGTTCAAGCTGGACCGTTTAGGGACACTTCTAATGCAGGTCTCTCTCTCTCTCTCTCTCTCTCTCTCTCTCTCTCTCTCTCTCTATCATTAATTTTAGAGGGTTAAAAACGGTAATTAAACTTTCCTAATTTTTTTTCCTATGCTACAGATGCTTCTAAAAACTGATGCAGCAACCAGGAATTATACGGTAAGCCTAAATCTATTTTTAAAAAAAACTTCTACTTTCTAATCAGATATTAGTAATCACAAAACTATAATTTTCGAAAAATCAATGATTTTTCGGATCGGAAGTTCGTTTAGAACCTGAAGAGTCTTCGTCAAGATCACAATCTTGAACGGGATAGTGGAAAACAAGCGCGAGGCCCACACCGCGTACCGATGCCTAACGAAGAAGAGGAATAGAGACATTCTACTCTCCACGTCTTCCATCTTCTTCTTCTCTTTTTCGTCTTCCTCTTGTTTAAAAATCATCACAAAAAGTCTCTCATCTCTTTGGAATTTTAAGTTTCAGACAGCAAGACGTTATCCTGGATTAACAGCAACTGTACCCCATGTAAGATAGGTTTACTTCTTCAAAATTCACGAAAAGATTTCCAGATGCTGGTTTCCAGACGGATACCAATACTAGCCTATCTCTTCTTGGCATCTCTTCTTGCTCTTCTCGCGTTCAAATTTCATTTGTCCACACGCTCAGACGGTGGGGTCTTTGAAGATGGTATTTTCAAAGGAAGATGTTAAAAATATTATATGATTTCAGAAGATGATCCGACACCTTTCGATTTTGCATTAAATTTCTTAGTGAAGCCTGAAAGTGAAACTAGTCCGAACGTTTTGGTACTAGTGACAACAACACCATCAGAAGTTCGGATGAGAGATCAGGTTAGAAGATCATGGGCAAATTATACAAGTCAAACTGTTCGTGTCGAGTTCTTGATGGGAATCCCTGTAAGTCTTTTGCTCCTCAAAATATTTTGTGTATCTGAAATCGATTTTCAGACCAAGGAGCAACTTCCAGCGATACAAAAAGAGAGTGATGTCTACAATGATATGATAATAGCAGATGTGATTGAAGGATACTATAGTTTAGCTGCAAAGACAATGGCAATGCTTCTCTATAAAACTCGGTAGTTGTTTTGGAGTTTCAATTTCCGTAAAACCTGTAATAGAAGGGCCCCCTAATTTTCAAATTTGAGCCTATTTATCTTGCTTCATGTAAAAGATCTAAAAAAGTTGTCAACTGATAAATTGTTTCTTATAAAATCAGAAGTGTTTTGTCAGTCGCCACATTTTGGATATCTTGCATAGGAAATGAGATAATTGAGCCTGAACTTGATAGTGTGTGGGTAATAGAAGGACCCTCACACTGTCAAGTTGGAGATAATTTATCTCGGCTCCTATGCAAGATATCAAAAATGTGTCAACTAATAAAATGCTTGCGATATTATGATAAAAATTTTGTCAGTTAAAAACTTTTTGATATCTTCAACAGGGAATGAGAAAAATCGGTTCAAAGTTAAAAGTAATAAAAAACAAAGATTTTTTCAGGTATTACCCAGATGCAAAGTGTCTCGTCAAGGCCGATGTTGATAACGTTTTGATACTACGAAACTATGAGAGATTGTGTGAAGAAGCTGGTGGGTTATTCCTTATCTACTTCTGAATATTTCCGGCGTTTCAGTCGGACCAGTGATTCTGGGCAAATGTGATGTTCCTCGAAGTGTATTACGAAATACTACAAAATGGGCGGTACCAGAGTTTGTATACTCGGAGCCTGTGTATCCAACATATTGTTCCACTGGCACATACGTCTTGGCTGGAAAAACAGTCCCACAACGACTAATTAAAGAAGCGATGAGGAGCCCGTTTTCCAGTTCACTGAATTTCAGGTTTAGCAAAACTTATGGGCTTATTCAGCTAGGTAAAAAAGACCTAGTATGTTACGTAGCTAATTAATCCCATTTCTATTAGAATGAAAACGAAAAACAATTTTTCAAAAATTCCAGAAAACTCTCTGAAGACGTCATATTCACTGGAATCCTTGCCGAGAAGGCCGGTGTACGACGTCGTCATATCAATGGTCTCTCATTTTTCGAAATGCCGGAATTTTTCTGTCGGAACGGTTTTAAGACAACGTACAGTACGCATTTGTTGAATGATAAGAATCCGGTGAAGAACTTTTATAAATTGATGAAGATCGAAGGAGTCATGTGCAAATGGTGGGATCCATATGGAGTACGGAGGTGGTATAATTGAACTGTAGACTGTGTTTGAATTAATGGGTCTTTTTTACGGGTCTGTTTTTTCCTTTTTTTTTTTGTTTTTTGACAATAAAAATTTGCTACTTTTGTTCGTTTTTGTTAAGTGAGCAATGAGAGGACATTGTTTGAAAACTCGAGGCTTTGTCGAAGATCAGGCAACGACAACTACCGTAACCCACATAACTCCTTCAGACGAAGTGATAGAAAAAAGTTGTCTACTACAAAAATGTATCTCTATTTTTGCTCAAAACACCTTGAGCATTTCAGTACTCAGATGTAGTTACTCGAAGTTTGATTCTGCTAGAAAGAGATAATGATGGACACATTTTTGAATAGAAATTTCGAGACACCCACACAACCAAATTACACTCTTAACATTTAAAACATTTACTTGATTCATTCAAAATATATTAAAACAAAAAAGAAGTATTCTGACTTTTCCTAATCCACCCATATCATTTGAAGTCGCGGTTCTTAGATCGTTCATAACTCGGCTCATTGTACACCCTAGAAGCTGAAATTAGTCTCAAACGTAATCATTTTTAACCTTTTGTCCATTTCCGTCGAAAAAAACCAAGAAAATATCTAAACTCTCCGAAATCGTATTTTTTTCTGAAAACGCATTTCCTCAGTTTGCCTTCCCCCGATTTCAAGAAAGAAAAGTGGGCGGAGTCTACTCACACGCAAAGTATAGTGGCCGGCGCGAACCCGGGAAGTGTCGGCTGCTTCGAGGCAACGCGCGCGCTTGACGCTATCTGTTGTGTTTAAATTTATGAACTGTTCTGCAACGGAAAATCGAGGGAAATTGCTGAAAATTGATGGACTGACACTTTGAAATACGGAAAATCCGAAAATCTGCTTTTGAATATGAAAAAGTGCTTGAAAAGTTTGGAAATTTTGGTATAAAAGTAGTCAATTAGAACATTTTCGCGCCGAAGGGGCAACAGAACCGAAGGTTTGAAGAACCGGAGGCGCTGGCACAAGCATGTAGCAGATACAAACAGCTGGTACAGGCTGGAATGGAACGTCTTTGAAAAGTATGGAAAATTTGGTGGAAAAGTTATTAATTCGAAAAATGGTGTTAACTTTTAGAGCATCTTCCTTGTCCCTAATAAGTTTTCGAAATTCGCTTTTTTGTTCTTCCTCTTGTCTCCTAATAGCAGCTTTTCGTTACGTTCTCTTTCTTCTTCTTCTTTCACTAAAAGAGCCCCGCCTACTTTTTGTGTCTCTCGTCGTTCGTCGTCCAGTCCTTCTCCTGGAAATTGACACAGCGGAGCGCATCCGACCGAAGGGTTGCCCCGCGTCGGCGCTCAATTATGAAACGTCAACCGGATAGTTGTTGGGGGAAAAGTTTGGTCGGGTTGCCTTCTTTCCAGAACCTTCTCTCTTTTATTGTTTTTCCTTTTTTTAGCTAATTTTCTCATCGTGTTTTTTAGGAATTTTTCAAATTCATAAGCATCTCCTTCCACCGTAACCATGAGCCATTTGCTGCTCTTCTTGCTTATCATCTATCAAATTAGGACCGTACTCCCTTGTGCACCGCCCGGATTTGTTCAGTCGAATGACCCCTCTCAAGTTGGTGCTCGATGTTCGGACCTTATCTTGTACCCCGTGTCAGCTGTAGATCAAACTGATCAATATAGGTAATCATTCCTCCGATAAAATTTATTTTCAAAAAAATTTTCTTTTAAAGATTCGACTATAGCGACGTCTCGTTTGGAAACACACATGCTCAAGGGGCAACGGTTGCTATAACATGCACAACGGGAGGACAAGCCGCCACCGTTGAAGGATATGACCAGGCAAGTCGGGAGGAGGGTTGCCTAGGGACATTCTCCGATTTCGTATAGTGGTCAAGAACTTTCCATTATTCATTTGCTTTACAGCAACGAGCGTCCATCTCGGCTGCTCCATCACTACTGGCTACGTGCACCAATGTTGGAGGATCACAGTACACTTGGACGATTCTGGGCAGAATTTTGCAGTTCGTCGATTGCCGCTTCTAACCTGTATTTTTAAACCTTCCTCAGATCTTAACATTATCGAGCTTTCCCCTTTTGCAATAGTCTTTCATTTCTTTCTAATCTATTCAATTCGAAAAACTAGGTATGAAAGTTGAATTTGTCCATAACTGATACACGTGTCACCACCCATTTTTTAACTGTTTATGGACTGCTATCTGTGTTAATTACTTTCTATAATAAATATTCTACTACGTTCTACATGGCTAGTTTCCATGAAAAGACCGGTCGGGGCTTCCTAGCCAGCTAGCCGTCCCGACGCAATTATGCGGCGCGCTCAGGTGCACTTTGAAAGTTTCCAAAAGCGTGACGAGATTGATGACCAGTGATTCATGGGAGTGGAAAAGAGTGGTAATTTTTTATGAATATTGAGGGAAATCGAATAACTTAGCACAAATAATACATTAGAACCGGAGCGGTAAAAACGATTGGAGATGAATCGGCGGACGGGGGACTTAGAGCACTTGCTCAATGTGTGGTGGGAATGAGAGATGTGGAGTTGGTGTCTGCACGAATGGGAATCCTGGTTTGTCTGGACGGAAAAGCTCGAACTTGGATCCAGTCTTGTCAATGACAGCAAGACGGACGACTCCTCCAGATGATCTGAAATTGAGTAATTTTATATTGGGAAGGCATCAAAAAAGTAACTAACCCATCACGGAATGTAGCGAGACCGACAGCTTGCTTGACAATAGCCTTGCACTCTTCAAGAGTCAAATCTGGTCTCCACTGACTGTCGAGGAATCCTTGCACAAATGTGGATCCAGATCCAGAAGCAGTTGAACGTTGGCGAGAGACAAATCCACCAATCGGGATAGCGTAGACTTGTCCTCCAAGCTCGCTGTCCCATCCAGCGACGAGAACAGAAGCAGAAAGTTGTTCTCGGTAGTTGTAAAGGAACTGACGGAAGATTTGACTAGAGCGGTAGATCGTCACTGGCTTGTTCTCAGTCATACTGAAATTCGGAGGTGAAAACTATGCGGATTAGATATCAACGTACGTGTAGACGTCAATATGATACTTGGCGATGTCGGCGATGGCTTGAGTGTCAGCTGCAGATCCTGAACGGCACACAACCATGTTATCGGTGATTGGAGTGATCTTGTTAGTCGCACGGGAAGTGATGAACGATCTAAAGACATTTTTTAATAACAACAAATTCCAATAATTAGTACCCAGCACTAGTTCTCGAGTCGGTTCCAACAACAACTCCTCCGTTGTATTCCATTGCGATCAAAGTGGTCTGAAATAATACGATTTTTCGTTTCGTAAATTAATCAATTTCTCACTCCAGTGCTGATCTCATCTTGGGGGTAGAATCCAAGAGCCGGAATGGCCTTGCGTTTCTCGTCTCGCATAGTATCCATGTTCTGTAAAACCATTATTCGCTAAACAAAATTAAGCATTTAAAAGCGTCAATTCTGTACAAAAAGTGACACATTGAAATTCTGGCATCTATCGCTTCTTGCAAACGAAAGTTTTCGAAATAGGCAACACTTGCCAGGTTTAAATCGAAATTTAGTGAAAAAAGGTTCCGAAAGCTTCGATATTTCGTATTTTTATGATTTTTCATGTTATTTTGATTGAATATCGCAATTTAAAAGCAAAAAAGACGATTTGAAAGCTTTGTCATCAGAGCGAAATGGTGACAAAAAAGTCGTTTGAATTGGCGCTCTATCGTAGCGCCTGCACATCTAACTTTCTTGGCACTCAGCCAACATTCGATTTTGGGATGCGTTCAACGTGTTCTTGCCGGCTTCTCTTGGATTTTCTTCGATTTTCTTCATCCGAACATGCTTGTTTTTGCAAAAACCGGTTAAATTAACTAGTTTTTCGTGTATTTATGAGAAGTTTAGCTATTCTTCGACTTTTTGCATGCTGGAAATAGGATTATTCTCGGAAAAATAACAGAGTCTTCTTCATCTTCGCTTTCTTTGTTTTTTTCTCAATTTTTTGTAGCTCTTTCAACACTACTGTATTTTTTTCAGCAATGTCCGACCAAAGCTGCTACAAGTGCCAGCAACCTGGCCACATCTCTCGCAATTGCCCACAGCGCGACCAAGACAGTGGACGTAGAGGAGGTGGAGTGGTGTTGTATTGGGGGTGTTGAGTTGATTTAGGTAAATACATTATCTCTAAATTTCTTACCAACTTAACATTTCTTTTGGAGGTTCTAGAGGAGAGGATGTGAAGAGTAATGTGTTTCATGGCGGAGTTTAGGGGATGGACGTTTAGTATTGGTTTTTTCATAATTCATATTTCGTTGTTTTCAGGTGGATCCGTGTGCTACAACTGTCAAGAGACTGGACACTTCTCGCGCGATTGCCCAAAGGGAGGATCTCAACGCGGAGGAGGTGGCGGCGGCGGTGGATCGTGCTACAACTGTGGAGGACGTGGACACTTCTCCCGTGATTGTCCATCTGCCAGAGATGATGGAGGCAGCAGAAGCTACGGAGGTGGTCGTGGAGGAGGCCGTGGAGGTTACGGAGGACAGAAGTGCTATAACTGTGGCCGTAACGGACACATCTCTCGCGAATGCACTGAGAGCGGATCGGCTGAGGAGAAACGCTGCTACAACTGCCAGGAGACCGGACACATCTCTCGTGAATGCCCAACCCAAAACAATTGAATAATTTCTCCCGTTAATTCTCTGATTCCATTTTTTTTGTCACTCGAAATCATATATTCAACTTGAGTTCGCCCCTCGTTCTCTATTGTGTAACCCCACACTTCTGCATCTCAAATATATGTTCATATATGTGAATGCTGGTTGTTATCCTCCTTCTTCTCTTATTCCCTGAACCTCTTAATATTGGGCGAAAGAAGTAATAAATTGTTGATTAAAGTCACACGGCTCTTCTTTGAAATCGGAAGCGCACGCGCTCGAGTCACCATAGCAACCGGGCGACGAGGCAGCATGAAGCAGCAGCCACTCGCGCGCTCCCCTTCTTTACCTCGCATTCAAGATTTGCTCCGCGATGAGCTGCTGCTTCTCGAAAAAGCTATTCAGTCGGCGTTCGCACCGCGAAGACCGTTATAAGGTCGAAGAAGCGAACGGTGAACCGAAACCAGCAGAAGGTACTGGTGAGGCTCCAAAGTATTCGTGGTGAGTTTCTAGAAGTTAGGCTTCGATCTGGTCTCATCGTTGTGTGACGTCATAATTTTCAGGGAACGTCGTGAAAAGGCGAATCCAGAGGATTACACTGTGAAGGATGTGAAGGACAAGACTGTTAGAAAAGTCGGAAAAGATGGAGGACCTCTGGAAATTGACAATTGTCAGGTTAGTCGAATTTAAAGGCACATTGACGGTCCTCAGCGGAGTTTTTTTGAATGAGTGTGCTTTTTGCATGTTTCGCTTTGAAGTTTCAGTGGTTTTTTAATCAACTTTCCTCTGATTCTCATTAATTTTCAATCGAATTTTCAAAAAGCAGCCAAAAACATGTCTAAACACAATTAATTGACAAGCTACGGTATCGAAGACGTATGCATTTCGTTGTAAAAACCGTAGCTGGTTTCGCCGAAGCTCCGATAGGCCATTTAATAGAATTTCGCCAGCAAGGTTCATCGGCATAACATTATAGTATAAGATTACTATTAGGTTGTTCGAAAAGTAATGCGCGTTTAGTGCGATCTACCTCGACTTCCAGCTATCTTTGTTGTTGATCTTTGAGTATGCGTTGTGGTCGAAAATGATGGAGAAAACCCCCTTGATCAATCTTATCGTGTTTCAGTTTTGCATGAAGTTAAAATGAATCAAAAAACGCGCATTACTTTTTGAATAACCTAATATTCTGAGCTTAGGAAGATTAACTTTAAAGCATCTCTGTTTTTTATTGAATGAAGGGCTAAAAAGAAACTAAGACATGACGTCATCTTACGGCTTGAGTAATCCAGTGGGAAATTTGTATCGTGTGACTAAAAATCCGTGGGCGAAGACAAATCTATGATGTGTTCAGGACTCAGCAATCCTCTTCCTTCACACATCTCACAAGTCATGATCGACAATTGTAGTCGTTGCACAATTGTTCTAGGCCCATGCCAAGGCAGTGTCTTCTTGCGTGACTCATCGAACTGCACAATTTTCACTCCATGTCAGCAATTGAGAACTCGCGACTGCAAAAGCATTCGTATTGGAATCTTGTGTCCAACTGAACCGATTATCGAGAATTCAAGTGACATCCGCTTCTTTCATTTAGCAATGAGATATCCCCAATTGAAAGATCAAATGCATTCTGTTGGGCTTCGTCCGTTCACCAACCACATCAATTCTGTCCACGACTTCACTCCAGCTGCTCCGAATGGAAAAGGAAACTTCCTCATTTTCTCTGACAATGTCAATTTGGTATAGGAATTTTTTCAGGTCATTAAAACTTTTATATACATTTTAGTCTTCCGGCCAAGAAGAGATACTAAAAGTGAACACTGTGATTTTGAAGCCGTCTCCAGCGGACTTCATTCCTCGCTTCTCCGAAATCAAAGACAATGATCCAACCTATGCTTACATCTGTGGAAAATCAGAACCAGTTGACGAGTTGGGTGACTCGGCTATCGAGTTGTTGCACTGTGTCTACAAGGCTAAAATGGAAGTCATGTCTTCGTATGATGTGGAAGTCAAAACTGTCGATCCCAAGCTTATTTCATTTGCCGGGAACGCAGGTAAATATGTTTAGGGATGTACAGTAACGGGCGCTAACTTTAACTTTTAACTTTCAACCACTTTATCTCGGTTCCTGGCGAATATATCGAAAATTTGTTAACTGACAAAATATTTTTGATGTTATGATCAACATTTTGAAAGTTGATCCCTTTTTGATCAGGTATTTGCGGATCTCTGAAAGACATCTGTTTTTTCATCAAACTGTCTACTTTGAGCCTACAAATCTCGTTTTCGGTAAAAGATATAAAAAGTTGTCAACTGACAAAATGTTTTTGATATTATAATAAACATTTTGTCAGTTGACCACTTTTTCATATCTCTCACAGGAGCCGAAATAAATTTGCTAAAACTTGATAATGTAGGGACCCCTTTTATTACATGTTCTACGGTTACTGTATGTATATATTTTCCAAAAATTTTCAGAGAGAGTCATCATCCTCGAACTATCAGGTGACCTGCTCCAACTCGAGTATGATCTGGATATGGGAGTTATCCAGCAGGACGAGATGGAGCAATTCCAAAAGCTTCTCATTCACTTGAACTCGAAGAAAAGTGGCTGATAATTTCCTTAAAAAATATCGCACGGTCTCAAAATCTCTGTCTCAAACCCTCCATGTTTTCTTCTCCTGTCCCAACAAAATGTTTTTTTTCTGTACTTTTTTGTCATTTCGAGAAGAATGACCTCTCTTCTCTCAACTCATTCAATTATTTATTCTATGTGATCTCTCTCTCTCTCTCTCTCTCTTCTTTCTCCTCTTTCTTTTTTCCTAACCTTCATCTACAAATTGACCGTCGCGAATGAAAAAACTGCAAATATTTGGTGTGTCCTTCAATTTTCGGAATCTATTCTGAATTTCTATTTTCCATGGAACTGGTTCGTTCTATGGTCATAGTCTGGTAGAATTTGATTTTGGGCATTTTAGAAACATTGGAATGGTAATCTGACGTAATGGCTTATCATTTGAAAAAGAAGGAAGTTTGGATGGAAGTTTTGACACAGAATCTCGAAATCGAAAATCAACGACAAGTTTACTTGTCGGTTTTCATTAGAAACGTTTCAAGACAATTTGTGTAATCACCAAAAAAAAACTGGTGATGGTTTCCCTATCTCGAAAGGTTGTGTATCCACAAACGCTAGTTTTCTTATCACAAACGCTAGTTTTCTTATCTATTAGATCCTTCGGGCTATAGGCAAGACGGGAAAAAAAACAACCCGGAAATTACGATAGTATAACATTGACCTGGTTTCAAAGAAGGTCACAGTGATAAAAAAGGGTTTATTGTTCTTTAGAAATGTCTTTGAATGGGAATATTGAATGTCTTCAGATACAGAAAAACGATTTAAACTAATATTATAATAAACTAACTACTTTTAATATTATAATAAACTAAATTTTAATATTATAATAAACTAACTACTCTAAAAACAGCTGAGCCGCCGGACGTCCGCCATACGGCCGTTGGGCGGCTAAGAAGTCTCAATCAAGTGGTAAAACGTTTATCATAATATTAGTGACATTTTATCAGTTGGCAACTTTTTGATATCTTTCACAGGAACTAAGAGGGTTAGCATTCTAATAGAACGTCCAAACAAACTGTCAACTTTGAACCTATATATCTCGTTTCCTGTGAAAGGTATTTAAAAGTAGTCAACTGGCAAAATGTTTTTGATATTATAATAAATTTTTGTCAGTTGATTACTTTTTGATATCTGTTACAGAAACCGGGTATGTGGGCTCAAAGTTGACGGTTCGGGTACCACTCTATAAGCGTGTTTACGGTATTCTGGTTCCTGTAGTAGGAAGATCTGTAATATATATTTTAAATATAGATAATTGAATATAAATTCTAACAATAAGTTTCTGATATTAGGATAAAAATTAAAAAAAAATCACTTTTTGATAAAGCTTACAGAGTCTGGCACACCGATAATACTCTAATAGAACGTCTACTCAAACCATCAACTTTAAGCAGTCATAAGTTGTTTCCGGTAAATGATACTAAAAAATAATCAAGCGGTAAAATGTTTATCATAATATTAGTGACATTTTATCAGCTGACAACTTTTTGATATCTTTTACAGGAACTAAGATAAACAGGCTCAAAGTTGAAAGTATAGAATTTCTTGAGCTATTTACAGAAGATACTTTTGTCAAGACAGAGATCAACAATTGGAATCTGCCTGTTTTTTTGTATCAATCACTTTCCGTTTCATTTACTTGACCCTCGTCCATCATCGTGTCTATCAAAACCCAAGTTGCTGCCCTTCCCGCGCAAACAAAAACTTCCAACACACTTTTTTCAATGTTCTCAAGTCAAAAGAGAGTGTGTAACATCTCTAATGACCGTTTTGAGTACACTTGTTGTCATTGTCCAAGCCTAATTGTCCAAACCTTTGTCTCTCTGGAAAAAAAGAAACGGTACAGTAATAGTGTCCATCGCTGGTTTTCTATCTCTTTTCTTTTTTGTTAGGGGCAACGGAACTTTAAACTGTGATACGTTCCAAAAGAGAAGGAAAAGGAAGGATACTCAAGAAAAGGGATACTATCATATTTAACGACGAATCGAACTGAAGAACCGAAAGCGATGATTGATCTGATCTAAAGTCATTCTCGACTTCGGCAAACTGTTTTAAACGTCATTTGGGTGTAAGATAGCAAATTAAAGTGGCTATTCGGATGACCTGAAGAACTAAAATCACGAGAGAGAGAGTGTTGTTGGAAAAATTACATGGGCTATTAGAAAACAATTAGCCATTGGCTGCCTTTTCAGGGTCAAAGAATTGGTGGAAACATCACGAACGTTTTAGAAAAGTACTTGAATTGAATATGTCAAAAATCGGAATAACAATTAAATACATACAAAAAATTGCATTCAGTTTGCAGGAATATGGAAGGATACTACCGTAAACCTAACTTTTAACTTTCAGCTAGTTCATCTCAGTTCATGTCAGAGATATCAGAAAATTGTAAACTGACAAAGCACTTCTGATGTTATAATAAACAATTTATCAGTTGACAACTTTTTTCTATCTTTTACAGAAAATAAGATATAAGGGATCAAAGTTGAAGGTGTGGAACTCGTTCCATCAGTTAACAGCAAACTTTACATTTTCAAAATCCTAAAAATAACCTCAAACTTTTTGAGTTTGCCTAAACAGTTCAAAGAGTATTAAACAAAAATAGAGCTTCATTTTTGTAGTTGACACTTTTCAGATAGAAATTCAACGAAGCGAGATATGCCCCGTGGAAGATGAGCAACCTAGATAACCCCATTGTACCTAGTAACAAACCACAAAATCCATCATCTTTGATGTCTACGGATGTATTCGCTGTGCATATTATCTCTTTCTTTAACTATCATCAAATCACAGTAACAAACTGTGGCCCTGACAAATTCCTAGTGTTCTGGCGTCAACAAATGTTGTCATCCTTCTACTGTTTGAAAGAACCGAATCGTTTTTTATCGGTGTCCACTCTCCTTTAACGAGAGAATCTTCTCGAACTTATCACAATCTTCTTACCACATCTTGATGTATGCGTCTCGAATGTCTCCCGGCAGTCTCATAGAAAAAAAACGGTTGGGCGGAGCCTGACGTACGTGTATGGTCTTACTCGGGGCTGCTGGAATCGCCCTCTTCTGAAGAAATACAACTAGCGAGACAAAAAGCGGTCTAGCTAGTTTACACACTATTTCACCCTTTTTGCTTCCTACCATGAACTTAGGTTTGGGTATAAATGCGGTTGGGTTTACCGGTAGAACCACTGGAGAGTCGCCTAGCGTCCATCAGCAAAAAGAACAATCATGAAGGTGTTTGTCTTTCTTTCCATCATCGCCCTCGCTTCTTCTCGCTACGGTAAGATCATAATTCAATGGTTTCACATTATATAAAATATTTCAGTCGTGAAGAGAAACGCTTACGGAGATGAGCAAGTAACCCCAGCTCCAGCTGCACCAGTTGCCGCCGAAGCCCCAGTTGAGCAAGCCCCAGTTGCCGTCCCAGCCCCAGCTCCAGCCGCCGCTCCAGCTCCAGACTGTGGATCCGCTGCCCCAGCCCCAGCCGCCCCAGCTGCCACCGACTCCGGATACAGAAGCAAGAGAAACGCCTACGGAGACGAGCAAGTTACCCCAGCTCCAGCCGCTCCAGTCGCTTCCGAGGCTCCAGTTGAGGAGGCTCCAGTTGCCGTTCCAGCCCCAGCCGCTGCTCCAGCCCCAGACTGCGGAGCCGCCGCTCCAGCTCCAGCTGCCCCAGCTGCCGCTTCTGGATACAGAAACAAGAGAAACGCTTACGGAGACGAACAAGTCACCCCAGCTCCAGCCGCCCCAGCCCCAGCCGAGGCTCCAGTTGAGCAAGCTCCAGTTGCCGTTCCAGCCCCAGCTCCAGCTGCTGCCCCAGCCCCAGACTGTGGATCCGCAGCTCCAGCCCCAGCTGCCCCAGCCGCCACTGACTCCGGATACAGAAGCAAGAGAAACGCTTACGGAGACGAACAAGTCACCCCAGCTCCAGCCGCCCCAGCCCCAGCCGAGGCTCCAGTTGAGCAAGCTCCAGTCGCCGTCCCAGCCCCAGCTGCTGCTCCAGCTCCAGACTGCGGAGCCGCCGCTCCAGCTCCAGCTGCCCCAGCTGCCGCTTCTGGATACAGAAACAAGAGAAACGCCTACGGAGATGAGCAAGTGACCCCAGCCCCAGCTGCCCCAGCCGCCTCCGAAGCCCCAGTCGAGCAAGCCCCAGTCGCCGTTCCAGCTCCAGCACCAGCCGCCGCTCCAGCTCCAGACTGTGGATCCGCTGCCCCAGCACCAGCCGCTCCAGCTGCCACCGACTCCGGATACAGAAGCAAAAGAAACGCCTACGGAGACGAGCAAGTCACCCCAGCTCCAGCCGCTGCCCCAGCCCCAGCCGAGGCTCCAGTTGAGCAAGCTCCAGTCGCCGTCCCAGCCCCAGCTGCTGCTCCAGCTCCAGACTGCGGAGCCGCCGCTCCAGCTCCAGCTGCCCCAGCTGCCGCCTCTGGATACAGAAACAAGAGAAACGCCTACGGAGATGAGCAAGTGACTCCAGCCCCAGCCGCTCCAGCCGCCTCTGAGGCTCCAGTTGAGCAAGCTCCAGTTGCCGTCCCAGCCCCAGCTCCAGCCGCCGCTCCAGCTCCAGACTGCGGATCCGCTGCTCCAGCCCCAGCCGCCCCAGCTGCCACCGACTCCGGATACAGATCTTGAACACTTTCCCATCCATCTTTCAAATCTCAGCGAACTGCCAGTCAATTTTTCATCAGGAATTAATAAGTAAAGAAGTAGATTGCTTTTTCTATATCTTCGCCAAATAAAAATTTTAAAATCTATTCCTTATTTTAGTGTAGTATATTAAAAGAATACAATTAATGTCAGAATAATGAAAAAATAACAATTATCAGGATGATTCCACTCGCACCCTTGTTTGAAAGGCTTTCATCAAATACTGTTGATATGAGGGAGTTTGAACAATCAAAACTACCGTACCAGGAATTGGTGCAGCCACAAAAATATTATAAAGAAACATAGTGATTCCAATAGAATCATATTCTGGAACCACAAAATATTGAACACAAGTGAAGAATGGATAAAAAATAAAAGTCACCAATTTGATCAAAATCTGAAAGTCATTGTTTTAGTAAGCGAGATTCATGGAGGTACCGTACTTCCTGAAGAATGTTTTTCAGCACTTTTAAATGATATTTTTGCATTGAAGCACTCATGGAATTGACCCGAATTCGCACTTCAAGAAATATCAAAACACTCAGGCACATATAACACTGAAAACTTCAAATTTTGAATAATTATTTCAGAAAATTTGAACAAACCGTAATCAATCCACCAGATATTACAATACAACTGAATATACTAAACCGCATAACTTTTTTATCTGAAAATATCAACAGACTGTTTTCTTTTGGTACGTTTCCGTATTTTGGGTATCTCTGAAATTTTCAAATTTGTTTTTTTTTTTGAAAGTGGACAGTTACATATTCAATGTAAGCATTTGTGATTTCAACTGGCTTTCTTAGAATTTCAAACATGTAAATAACTGTGATAGTACATGCTATGTATGACAGAACACATCCTATCCAATAAGTTCGAGTGGATACATCCAAGAATGAGTTTCTCCTAACAACCATTCGAAAACGGATCACTAGCGTACCAAATAAAGACCATAGAAAACTGACAATCTGGATTACCCAAATTTGCTGCAACGTGGATTATTCAGAAGCTTGTAGAACACTTACCGTAAAACCTGTAATATAAGGGCCCCTACAAAGTAACGCTAAAGCTCAGTTATTTCATTTCGTATGAAAGATTTCAAAAAGGTATCAACTGATAAAATGTTTGTGATATTATGATAAACAGTTTATTAGTTGACAGCTTCTCTATATCTTTGATAGGAACCAAGATAAATTGGCTCGAAGTTAAAAGCTAGGGGCCCTTCTATTCTAGGTTTTACGGTAGCTTACAATAAGCAAAATTAGGTCAACGTATTTTCTCAATACGCCATAAAATATAAATGCTGGAAACGGCAACAAGGGAACAATACACATTAGGAAGCCAAATTGGAATTGAGCGGAACATAGCAATACCTGGAACGATAGGTCCTGGTCTGAGATCAGTCTCCAAAAGAGCAGGTAATAGCTTACACGAGAAGACACTAAAGCTATTTTATAGGGAGTTGTCTCTTTTTTCGATTTGGTTATAATTAGAAAAACAGCGAATGAATTGACTAAAACCGAACAAAATGTGATCAAAATTCCAAAAGCAATAGAACTATCCCTGTTTAGATTTTCTAGAGTAATGAATGTAGAATTCACAAATGTTAGGTTAACATCTATATTATTCATATAGAATATTTGCAGCGATTTGTTGCTCAGCTTCCGGATAACTCGGGAAAAAGGGGAAGTTGATGTGTGACGTTTGTTTGTTGAATAATTTGATAAAGAAAGCAGGAAGGAAATTTATGTGTCGTCTAGTGTAGTTTTTCGTCGATATAATTGAGGGTTTTGGACGAAAAAAAAAGGCTGTTATTACCCTGAAAACCAGATAAGAAAGGCTCTACAATAATTGTATAACGATGATTATGGTAAACGCAGCAAAACCAGAGAGAAGGAAATACCATAAACACTCTAATAGAATACCACTCAAACCGTCAACTTTAACCATATATATCTCGGTTCCTGTAAAAGCTATCAACAAGTGGTCAAGTGATAAAATATTTTTTAAGTTACGATGAACATTTTGTCAGTTGACAACTTTTTGAAATGTTTAACAGGGGGCTAAGATAAATTGGCTGAAAGTTGATGGATTGGGAATCGTTCTATCTGTTTACGGCGCACTTTACATTTTCAACGAATACAAAACAGCTTCAAACTTTTTGGACTTGCCAGAAAATTTGAGAGGGTACTGAACAAAAATAGAGATACATTTTTGTAATTGACACTTTTCAGATGGGAATTCAAAGAAGAGATATGCTCCGTGGAGGTTGAGCAACCCTGGTTTACAGATTTGGAGTCCTTCTATCTGTTTACGGCGCACTTTACATTTTCGAACCCCTACAAAACAGCCTCAAACTTTTTGGATTTGTTTGAAACTCTAAGATGGTATTGAACAAAAATAGAGCTTCATTTTTGGTAGTTGACACTTTTCAGATGGGAGTTCAAAGAAGCGAGATATGCTCCGTGGAGGTTGAGCAATCTAGATAACCCCATTGTACCTAGTAACAAACCACAAAATCCATCATCTTTGATGTCTACGGATGTATTCGCTGTGCATATTATCTCTTTCTTTAACTATCATCAAATCACAGTAACAAACTGTGGCCCTGACAAATTCCTAGTGTTCTGGCGACAAGAGATGGGCTTCCGGAAGTCAAAGTAAAGCCCAGTCAGCATAATTGAGAGCTTTGGTATAAAAAACGGATGTTATTATCTTGAAAACCAGATATCGAGCCTTCTTTATTTCAAATAAATAAAAAATAAGAGATCAAATTAACTTCCGGAATCACCAATGGTATATTCATGAGGGCCAGTTCTTGTTTTCTTTCTGCAAAAAGGAGAAAAACAGACTCTAACACAATAAGAGAGCTGGATTCCTTTGAACAAACAGGCGGAAAAGAAACGGAACACTAGATATTATGATCTTGTAGACATAGTGGTCATGACATTGCAAAAAATATACAAAAGGGCTTCTCCACCCACCGGCCAACCCTGTCATTCAGTTCATTTTCTGAAGAATATGGCTTCCTCGTTGCTCTCCTATATTCTCATTTTGTCGCTATTCGTGTACCTATGTGGTGCAAAAAGTGCTGGAGATGGTGAGTAATCAGAATCCCTTATCACTTCTGACTAAACAATTTTTCAGTGGAAATCGTCGGCCCATGTGTTAACAGTCACTGCCCACATACCTACGAATGCTTGAGGAATGAGTGTGTCAGAGATAGACGTAAGTTCACATAAATCTTAAAACCTGTAATAGGAAACCCTGCAAACTTGTAGGTTTGAGCTAATTTATCTCGGTTTCTGTTAAAAAATACAGAAAAGTTGTTAACTAATAAATTGTATATCATAATAGTACAAACATTTTATCAGTTGACACTTTTCCGATATCTCTAATAGGACCCGAGATAATTGAGCTCAAACTTGATAGTGTGAGGGCTCTTCTGTTACAGGTTTTACGGTATTACTCTAGTCTGAAGACATTGTGGCTGAAAATACATTTAAAAGGCGCATCGTCGGTCCAGTAGCGGAAAAGCAAAGTTTCTTTTTTGAATAAGTGCATGCGCCTTTAAAACCGTACCTCACAATCACTTCATTGAGGCCCATTTTTGGCTGCTGCTTTCCAATTTGATAAGGAAATTCAGCTAAGTTTTCATGAGAATCGAAGAAGAAATAAACAAAAAAAAAGCGAAAAATCTGGGTAAAACAGGCAAACATTTAACAATTTTGGGATACGGTATTAAAGGCGCATGCACTTTTTCAGAAAAACTTTTTTTTCCGAAATTCTTTTGTATTTTAAACATTGCTATCATCTTTGTCTTGTTGTCTGCTTCAAAACGAGCTCAAACACGACCAGGCTCCGCCCACTTTGAATTTATAACTTCGGCACGCGACGCGACTGAGCCTTGTCGTGTTTAGGCTGATTTTGAAGCTCGGAACTTTCTGAAATTGAAAAAAAAAGTTATCTCAAATTTCAGCAAAAGCCCGCCCTGGAACTGTCTCCATTGGACCTTGCATCAACACTCAATGTCCAGTTGGCCACTTCTGTTTGAATCAAGAGAACCAATGTTATCCATCGAAATAAATACAGATTTTTCAATTTAAATAAATTTCTAATTTATTGATATGGTTTCGCAGTTTATTCGGATCTATTTGGGTGGATGATGAGAGACCGGAGAGCAGAGTGCACAATGAAACGAGGAGTAACCAAAAATTAGTCGGAAAGAAATACGATTAGAATGGGGTGGGGTTTCAACGATGGTGGTGAGAGGCGTAGTGTAAACAATAGATGTAACAACTTCAACCAAAATATTTGATATGACTAAAAAACGTTCCCCCGGAGACAATACTCAATGGAATCAAAATGTTAGGAAAGGAATACAAAATAGTGGCCATCACAATGATCGGAACAAAAAAAAAATCATAATTTGGTTTGTATAGGATGGGAAGAGAAGTCAAAAACCCGGGACAATTGCAACAAAACGGGGAAAATATACCAAAAAAAGAAAGAAACAGAGATTGCAATCTTTTAAAACTAAGAAGATGAAGAATATGACGACGTGGTTGATGATGAATCGCTGCTCGCAGCAAATGAGGTCGTCGATTTTTTAATAGATTCTAGAAAACGAGAAGTTCCGCGTTTCAAACGACCTTTTTGTTCGCGAATTGCCGATGAAGCGCGATTCACAAAAGAGTCGATCGTTGAGCGGAAATTGGTAGAAGATGATGTTGTGGAGTGGATTGATGAGCATTCGGGCTGAAAGAAGACTTATAATAAAATGTGATGGGATATAGTTTTCTAGGATATGTCTCGTCCTCGAGG